ACACTCCAGCGCACCCACACACTCCAGCGCACCCACACAAACACACGTACCCGCACACACAAACATTCACATTCTGCCTCCCATTCAGAAACTGGAAGGGAGAATGCAGTAAGTGAACTCCATCCTCATAAGGAACGAGTCCAACTAAAGGAGAAGATGCTCTTCGTCGAGACATGCGGACAATAGGCGCAATAGGAAATTCCTCCTCTTCCCGAAATATATAGTATCATGCCCATTGATCAGCATCAATGACACCATTTCGATGCATATGTTGACTGTATTCGATAAAGAACTCAATTTACACCACGAAACGGGAGTTATAAGTTGAAATCGATAAGTTCCGCAGGTTTCTGTGCCCTCGTAGGGATTGACAAACCGACGAGCCTCGGTAGCGCAGTAGGTAGCGCGTGAGTCTCATAATCTCAAGGTCGTGAGTTCGATCCTCACCCGGGGCATACATTTTATTTGTTTATTATTTCCGCTCAGTCGATGGCCCTCGTAGCTGGAGAATGGAGCTCGAAATGGATCGTGTCGTACATTCATGTCAAAGCGGGAGCTCCACGAGCAATAAGGAATACCTTTCGGTTTTTTTAAAAATCCCGGTGGTGAAGACCGACCGAATCCTTGGAATCAATCAATCAATCCTTGGAATCACTTTGTGGGTAAAATCATCGTGTCGAAATCATTTGGCGTGTCGATTTCGGGATGCACAAATCCTTTCCTTTTAAGATGGCCCGTTTTATTGTGCAAGTTTTTTTTTGAGCTAGCACGGGTCTGCTCGCCGTATGCTGCTAAGCCTAAGCTAAGTTCACGGTTTCCAAAATTTATATTCAAGTTCAATTTCAGTTCAATTTCTGAGTCGATTTCGATGAGATTCCGTTGAGGTCTATGCGAAGAAAATGGGACTTTATTCATACCGAAGTCCGAACTGGAACCGGAAAGGTTTCGCGATGATCTGATTTTGGTCATGATCAGCATCGCGTGACGTTCTTGTAGGACGTTCGGCTAACGTTGTGGAGGCGTTTTTCGTGAGTAGAGAAGTTCATGCAGCTGACGCTAGATGTCGCCGAAGTAAACGCTCTAGAGAGTCAGATGGAACATATGGATGGAATTGGTTTGAAATACTTTCCTTGCGGAACCCGACCTTTCCCCCACAGACACGACAGAGGAAGACATTTGAATTCTTTAACAAATCGGTTTTTGGAGGTAACCTAGTCCGAGGAGTCTCCAGAAAACTCTGGCCCGAAGGATGGAGGGAAGATGAATCGGTTTCCAAGGTTAATGGAAGAGGTTGAATGAGAGGATACTAATCCTAGGGAACGCTTCTCAAAAATGACAAGCCAGGGCGAAGAATAATTGATCTATCGACAGCAGCCATGAAGAATTTACCGATTACGATCTCTTTTTACTCGCGTTTCTTCGGCGCGGGGGCGGATTTGCTCATCATATGTAACAGAGAGTTCTACTCTTTAGAAAGGATTCTTACTCGCATGCTTAGATGGGGACGCGTGGCTTTATGGGGATACAATCAATCTCAAATGAGGAAACTCCTGATTGATTATTCCTCATGGGAGGAATTATTCAATGTGTTTTGGAATAATCAATTTACGTCTGTTCAGGGAAGGAATCATTTGAACGGTTATTTATTTTTCTAAATTCCAAACATTTCAACAGTCAAGAAACGTTCTCGAGGACGTTCATGGAACGTTCATTGAACGTTCATGGAACGTTCATTGAACGTTCATTGAACATTCATTATACGTTCCGGCGCTACTTGGGTCAATGCAAGAAAAATTACATGGCTGAAGCAGCATGTGTCTTAAACAATATTAAAAAAAAAACAACTCCAGGAGATTAAGCTCAGATCACGCTCTCAACGTAAATCTTGTCTGGGCTGTACTTTCCCGGGACGAGATTTCGGATTTATTTATTTTTCCGCAAACAATCCTCTGGATTCATTGAGCCCCAAGGCCAAGTTGAGAAGCGAAGAGTGAGTTGAGAGAGTTTATAACCCGAGCTGGAGATAAATCGAGAACTGATTCGCGGGAAAATAAAAATAGTTTATAATATTATCGTTATGCGTCATGAAAACTTACCTATGCTGATATTATCCACAAGTCTTCACTCATCAATTCCACATTGTTTAAAATATAAATATAAAATAGGGTGACTCTGAAGACCTTGGGAAAGGAAATTCCAAGAGTCACGACGAGAAAAAAAAAATGCCAGAGCATCATGTCGCTGAAAAACAGCTAATAAATATGCATGATTTTACGCCGTTCTGTTTTTTTTTTCTTGGGCTTTTATAGAGAAATATCAATATTATCATTTACATGATTCCCTAGTATATTACATAGGACTGCAGTTGATTCTCTCAACACGAATATGTTCGAATCATTTCCATCGAACCTATCTTTTCATCTACTAAGCCTTAGCAATACTCGACGAAGAAATCAACTCAATTCATTAAAGGAAGTTGTAAGTTGCTATAGGAAAGTTCCGCGCATTTTTTATTTGGTTTTTGTTTGTTTTGTTTTATTCCTGAAGTCGATCGCATAAGAAGAAGCCTCGGTAGCGCAGTAGGTAGCGCGTGAGTCTCATAATCTCAAGGTCGTGAGTTCGATCCTCACCCGGGGCATTTGTTTTTTTTTGAGCTCGCTCATACTTTCTCAAATAATAAAATGTTCTTGGAAACAGTCCAATGAAAATTAAAGATCCTCTTTGCCTAAATCATCAAATAACAATGGAAAAGTTGTCTCCTTGGCTGCCGTATATATTCATCAGTCGATAGAGATCACAACCCCGTCATGGGCAATATTAGACTGAGAACTAACAAAACAGCATAAATTTAATTAATTAAAGCATGGGGATGATGAAGTCTCAGCCAGGAGGAATGAATAACTCACGAATGAATGGCTCACGCCACACAGGCAGTTCAAGGCCCCAGCAGTTGGAGCAATATAAGCCTATGACACAGTGCTTAAAAAGCTTGAATCCGCATCCGCATAGTATCCAAGGAAGTTCTTCATTGAAAAAAAAAAAGAAAATGGAACGTTGGACATCAGAAGATTCGATGAAAGAACAAAACTGAAGCCCAAGCAAGCGAGGAAGGTCGAGCTCGAAGCAGAATCCAATTCGTTCGTGCGGCTATCGGGGAATCTGTCGCTGAAGACGAAATCACTTTTCGAACGCCTTAGCAAAGTCTAAATATGCGATGTCAAGAGGGAGTCCTTTTTCCATCTTGCACGATGTCCAACGGTAAAGTTGCAGCAATAAAAAAACCGTTTAGAATAGAACTTGTCTTCCTAGAGCCGTGCTGAGATCCCCGAAGGAGAGTGGAAATGGCGTTGGGCGTTACACAGGAAATTCGAGTGGAGAATTCCTTCCATGCCTAACGCTGGATGGATGACCCGTCTCGCCCCGGGGCAAGACCCTGGAGGTTGTGGGGAAGAAGCGCAAGCCAAAGGAACCGTGTCAACAGTTGCGAACTGTTATCGTTAGAAACTGCCTTTACGTGCAATCGCATCGTTCCGTTCCAGTCCTGATTGGTTCTGGTTGGGTCATTGACAGGTGTAAAGAAAAAGCAGAGCTTGCACGCAAAGGAGCTGTGATGTCACTTGAGAAGCATTCGTACAGTATTTGTGAAAAAAGAAACACACAAAGGGGATCCTCTCAAATTTATTCATTCAAAATTTTGGCTTAATCTGGACATTGTATGGATATCTACCGACGAATCAATTGTGCAAAACTTTGATTTTATGGTCAAAGAATGCAGGCAAAAACATTTATGGGAAGAAGATAATTAAATGTAATGTAATTATTTATATTACTGCGTCCAGTGGATTTGACGGAGCCGGAAAGGGTACTGAGGCCGACTGATAAAATAACTCGCGTACTAGCCCCAGCCAGGGTTCAGCGTACCAGCGTACAGATCTGCCATTCCACTGTCTCCTTCACGACTCACATTATCTTTGCCGCATCCTAACCATCCATACTTGAAAGTAAAAGCTATCCTTGGTGCTTCATCGGCCTGTGCGAGAAGCCCGGACAACTCCACGCTTTTCTTCATGGTTCGTGTGTCCTCCTCGCGTGGAGGTGGGGGGGAGAGCAAGTGTTGCATCCTGATGTGACGTTTCGCAAGTACTCGTCTATGCTGCCGCGGGCAGCGGCCCTCTCCCATTATCTTCTATAGATCCGTCATCCGCGAGGGCGGGAGGGGAACTGGAAGGTTTAGTCGAGGACGAACACCCCAACTCAGGATGAAGGCTGCACATGCGCAATGAGTCAAGTTGTCCCGTTGCTGTGGAAACTGCGGAGAGACGAAATCAAAAAGGAAAAAAGAAAAGAAATAACAGACAGATTGGAATGTCTATAATTTTCCGACAGTACTTTTGGGAATGGCAGATAATGAAGTAGAAAAGTGCTAACTTCGCTATGAAAAAGAAACCACATGGACTCGTCGGGATATCTTTCCCTCAATATACATGTATTATGGAAAGGGGGGGGGGGTCACAACCAGTCATATAGCATCAAGAAAGGGATTGCAAATGTGGGTTTTTGAGGTGTTTTCAACTTTTTTTTCAATAAATCAATAGAAAGACGGACACGAAGGCAAATTTTGTCAGCCTCAAGTATGAATCATGTCGTAGTATGATTTTTAATAGTTGAAAATGTAAGGGTTGAGCGCATTAGCTGGCCTTCTCTGCCAAGAGTAGCTGTAATAAGAGTTTATATGCATTCTCAGGGAGAGCAAAAATTGAGCAATCAAGCTGCAAGTGACCGGGCAGTCGATGAATATGCCTTAAAAGATACACATCATTAGAAGGAAAAAAAATATTTCATAAACGCTCGACTTCGGCTCGAGATGTTCACAAACTACATGGACAAAAATCCTTGTAGGAGTCAGTACCAAAATCTTGAGCCAAGAGAAGGAAATTACAAACGATTTAAAGCTTCCTCCGACTGTGTTTCCATATTCCGGTGATTCAGGGAGAGCATCATCATGCAGGGAGGCTGAAAGGAACGGGAGAGGGCGGCGAAGGTGGAGCCCACGGAGCGTTGGTTCTTTGGGATCTCGTCCCCCGGGAATGCCTTCCAGGTTGCTGCAGGCCGGGCCATCCGTCGAGCAGGAGCGTCGTGTCCTCCGCGTCGTCCGCCTCCAGGCTCTGGTAATTCCCAACCACCACCACCCACAGGTAGGTCAGGATCCCTGAGGTCTTTAAATTATCGTCATCATTATTATGCCGAATGTGGCCTTGACATGAAATTTAAGCATTCATCTGCGCATTTTTTACGGACAAATTTCGGAAGATTTGCGAATGATTTTCCTTCGATCTAAGCGTTTCTAAGTACGTTTAGAGCTGGAAGTGAACATGTAAATATAGTCCACAGCACGCATCTGCCACTAGATGACCAGAATGGGCCGCGGATCAGTGATGGGCACTGAGTGTCTCATGTACGTACGTCAGGTACGAGCAGTGGAATGACGTCAGAGGCTCTAGTCGCCCAGTTGCCTTTACCTGACATCAATTGTGGACAGAGATGCTCTCCTTCGGCATGCGATCTTAAAACAATCCGCAAATGTGCTTCATCTCTCTCGAGCGAAGAAAGAAGAGTCGTAATGAGAGGGTACTCGAGCCTGATGGTCTTTGGGAGTCGTAGAGTGAAACCCCGTGACATATTTGGAAAAGCTTTTCGACGTCAATGGGAGACGAGATCGTGAAGTGCTGCCACGTATTTTTCGTACACGCATGCTCCATGCATTTCGAGAAGTGCCGAAGCACTATAATGAAATTAGCCATCCAAAAATCCCAAGGAACGACCACGATTGCGAGGGTGAGATGAATGAAGAAATCCAAGCAAAATGACTCCGTGAAGCCCTTTGGCTTGGATTTTAAACGCGCTCACTAGTTTCAAAATAAATAATAAAATATTGCTCATCTTACTAAGATTAAACGGTAGTTCGGTTAATTGCCCTCTTGTAATATGATACTTGGGCGCTAGTCGCCTCATTTCAGAAAGACTCACAGAATACGAGGAACATCGCAAAGACGATGAAGGCGTCGTCCCGCACGTAACCGCGGCGACCGAAGGAACGGAAGGCGAAGCATCCCATGAGGGCCATGAGGGCCGCCGCCACCAGAGGGTGCAGGGTCAGCCAGGGGAGGTGGAGGCGCTTCAGGTTCTGTCGGGAGTGGATGGTCGGTGGTCGGTTTAGACGAGGAGTGGGAATCCGTCTCGGGTGTCGCGATGACTCACTTTTTCGGCACCGAAGAGGAGGAGGAAGGAACCGATGACGTAGAGGACCATGAGCGCGACGGTTGCCACGATCACCTCATGGTACGTACTAAGGGGGGAAATGAAACGTTTAACGTCGGTAAATTCTCTTGCGCCCGAGCGGAAGATTGCGAGGAATGGTAACGCTGGAATTCCATGACGTCACGTGTTTCTTACCATTTCGCCTATAGATTATGCGTATCGGTTACCCGTTCGTGAGAGGGTGATAAAAGACGCAGAACGAATGACATCCTCGTTAACGGCATCAACAATGATATCTGGTATCCACCTAAGGCCTGGGTGGCATGCCCACGTGCCTAATCCCGTGTTTTCAAGACGACTTCGGACTCGCAGAGCGAAAATTGCGGACCCACTCGTAGCGATCCTTCAGGTCCCAGTTGGAGGCAATCCGGTCGATGTCGGCGCTGAGAACGATGACGGTCGGAATCGCGAGGGTTTAACGAGAAACGGAAATGCGTGCCCGGAGGCCAATTTCAATATGATACAGGGTGTTTCAAAAGTCCGGACTCGTAGGCAATTTCCTAATTTACCCTTTATTTCATTAAATGTTGAAATTGCACGTCATGAACATAAAAATATCAATCCTGACAGATAACGCCCTCTGAATATTTCTTAGTGCTTCTGTACTAATTTTGGTGCACTCATTCATTGAGAAATTTAATTAATTCAAAATACCCACGAGTACGGACTTTTGAAACACCCTGTACAATGACACAGCAAAGCCCTCGTATGGTCATCTAGTGGCAGATGCGTGCTGTGGACTATATTTACATGTTCACTTCCAGCTCTAAACGTACTTAGAAACGCTTAGATCGAAGGAAAATCATTCGCAAATCTTCCGAAATTTGTCCGTAAAAGATGCGCAGATGAATGCTTAAATTTCATGTCAAGGCCACATTCGGCATAATAATGATGACGATAATTTAATGACCTCAGGGATCCTGACCTACCTGTGGGTGGTGGTGGTTGGGAATTACCAGAGCCTGGAGGCGGACGACGCGGAGGACACGACGCTCCTGCTCGACGGATGGCCAGGCTTGCAGCAACCTGGAAGGCATTCCCGGGGGACGAGATCGCAAAGAGCCAACGCTCCGTGGGCTCCACCTTCGCCGCCCTCTCCCGTTCCTTTCAGCCTCCCTGCATGATGATGCTCTCACTGAATCGCCGGAATATGGAAACACAGTCGGAGGAAGCTTTAAATCGTTTGTAATTTCCGTCTCTTGGCTCAAGATTTTGGTACTGACACCTTCAAGGATTTACTTGTCCATGTAGTTTGTGAACATCTCGAGCCGAAGTCGAGGGTTTATAAAATATTTTCTTTCCTTCTAAAGATGTGCATTTTTTAATGCACATATTCATCGACTGCCCGGTTACTTGCAGCTTTATTGCTCAATTTTTTGCTCTGCCTGAAAAGATATATAACCACTTATTACAGCTACTCTTGGCAGAGAAGGCCAGTTAATGCGCTCAACCCTAACACTGTCGACTATTAAAAGTCATACAAGTAGAGGCTGACAAATTTTGACCTTCTTGCCCAACCTTCTTTCGATATATTGATTTTAAAAAATTTGAAAATACCTAAAAAAAAACAACCCTAATTTGCAGTCCCTTTCATGATGCTATATGACTGGATGTGACCCCCTCCCATTGTCTATAATATATTGAGGGAAAAAATCCTAACGAGTCCATGTGCTTTTTTTTATAACGAAGTTACCACTCTTCCTACTTCATTATCTGCCATTCCCAAAAGTACTGTCGGAAAATTATAGACATTACAATCTGTCTGTTATTTCTTTTCTTTTTTTCTTTTTGATTCCGTCTGTCCGCAGTTTCCACGGCAACGGGACAACTTGACTCGTTGCGCATGTGCAGTCTTCATCCTGGGTTCGGGTGCTCGTCCTCGACTAAACCTTCCGGTTCCCCTCCCGCCCTCGCGGATGACGGATCCATATAAGATAATGGGAGAGGGCCGCAGCCCGTGGCAGCATGGGATCGTACTCGCGAAACGTCACATCTGGATGCAACACTTGCTCTCCCCCCACCTCCACGCGAGGAGGACACACGAACCATCAAGAAAAGCGTGGAGTTGTCCGGGCTTTTCGCACAGGCCGACGAAGCACCAAGGATAGCTTTTACTTTCAAGTATGGATGGTTAGGATGCGGCAAAGATAATGTGAGTCGTGTAGGAGACAGTGGAATGGCAGATCTGTACGCTGGTACGCTGATACCCTGGCTGGGGCTAGTACGCGAGTTACTTCATCGGTCAGCCTCAGTACCCTTTCCGGCTCCGTCAAATCCACTGGACGCAGTAATATAAATAATTACACAACATTTAATTATCTTCTTCCCATAAATGTTTCTGCCTGCATTCTTTGACCATAAAATCAAAGTTTTGCACAATTGATTCGTCGGTAGATATATCCATACAATGTCCAGATTAAGCCAAAAATTGGAATGAATAAATTTGAGAGGATCCCCCTTTGTGTGTTTCATTTTTCACAAATACTGTACGAATGCTTCTCAAGTGACATCACAGATCCTTTGCGGGCAAACTCTGCTTTTTCTTTACACTTGTCAATGATCCAGCCAGCTCGTCAGGACTGGAGCGGAACGGAACGATGTGATTCATGAAAAGGAAAGGCAGTTTCTAACGATAACAGTTCACGCGCTACCTACTGCGCTACCGAGGCTTTCTACGAGATTTTTTCCTCTCCAAATGGCAAACGAAAAAATGCGCGGAACTTTCCTACAGCAACTCACAACTTCCTTTAATGAATTGAGTTGATTTCTTCGTCAAGTATTAATAACACATGCAATGAAATGGCTTAGTAGATCAGAAGATACTTTCGATAGAAATGATTTGAACATATTCGTGTTGAGAGAATCAACTGCAGTCCTACGTAATATACTAGGGAATCATGTAAATGATAATATTGATATTTCTCTATAAAAGCGGAAGAAAAAAAAAACAGAACGGCGTAAAATCATGCATATTTATTAGCTGTTTTTCAGCGACATGATGCTCTGGCATTTTTTTTTTCTCGTCGNAAAATCATGCATATTTATTAGCTGTTTTTCAGCGACATCATGCTCTGGCATTTTTTTTTCTCGTCGTGACTCTTGGAATTTCCTTTCCCAAGGTCTTCAGAGTCACCCTAATTTTATATTTATATTTTAAACAATGTGGAATTGATGAGTGAAGACTTGTGGATAATATCAGCATAGGTAAGTTTTCATGACGCATAACGATAACATTAGAAACTATTTTTATTTTCCCGCGAATCAGTTCTCGATTTATTTCCAGCTCGGGTTATATATTCTCTCAACTCACTCTTCGCTCCTCAACTTGGCCTTGGGGCTCAAAGGATCCAGAGATTTGCGGAAAAATAAATAAATCCGAAATCTCGTCCCGGAAAGTACAGCCCAGAGAAGATTTATGTTGAAAGCGTGGTCTGAGCTTAATCTCCCAGAGTTGATTTTTTTTTTTAATGTTCTTTAAGCTGCTTCAGCCACAAATTTTTTCTTTCGATTTGGAATGTATAGACCCAAGTAGCGTCGGAACGTTTAATGAATGTTTAATGAACGTTTCATTCAATGTGTTGCCAACGTTCCATGAACGTCCTCGAGAACGTTTCTTGACTGTTTAAATGTTTGGAATTTAGAAGAATAAATAACCGTTCAAATTATTCGTTCCCTGAACGGACGTAAATTGATTATTCCAAAACACATTGATAATTCCTCCCATGAGGAATAATCAATCAGAAGTTTTCATGCGCGCAAGAATCCTTTCTAAAGAGTAGAACTCTGTTATATATGATGTGCAGATCCGGCTCTGCGCCGAAGATACGCGAGCAAAAAGAGATCGTAATCGGTATATTCTCCATTGCTGGTGTCGATAGATCAATTACTGGACATTCTTCGCACTGGCTTGTCATGTTTTGAGAAGCGTTCACTAAGATCAGTAATCTGTCGTGCAACCTCTTCCATTAACCTTGGAAATCGAATCATCTTCCCTACATCCTTCGGGCCAGAGATTTCTGGAGACTCCTCGGACAAGGTTGCCACCAAAAACCGATTTGTTGAAGAATTCAAATGTCTTCCACTGTTGTGTCTGTGGGGGAAAAGATCGGGTTCCGCAAGGAAACGATTTCAAACTAATTCTACCTATATGTGGTACTGACTCTCTAGGGCGTTTACTTCGGCGACATCTAGCGTCAGTTGTATGAACCTCTTCTCTACTCTGAAAAATGCCTCCACAACGTTAACCGAACGTCCTCCAAGAACGTCACGTAACGCTGATGAAACGACACCAAAAGCTGCTCATCGCGGAACCTTTCTGGTTCCAGTTCGAACTTCGGTATGAATAAAGTCCCTTTCGTTCGTATAGACAACTCCCTCAACGGAATCTCGTCGAAATCGACTCAGAACTGAAATTGAACTGAAATATTAATTTTGGAAACCCGTGAACTTAGCTTAGGCTTAGCAGCATACGGCGAGCAGATCCGTGCAAGCTCGAAAAAAAACTTGCACAATAAAACGGGCCATCTTAAAAGGAAAGGATTTGTGCATCCCGAAATCGACACGCCAAATGATTTCGACACGATGATTTTACCCACAAAGTGATTCCAAGGATTGATTGATT